ATCGAGACATGTGCTGCTTCGGCAACATCTTATGTTTCTTTGATCCTGCTTAATCCGTAGATCCGGGGAAGCTAGTTGATTCACTTCACTCATAGATCACTATAAAGAACACTTCTTTTGCACTTCGGGCTCATGAAACTTATTCAAGCTACTCAAGCTATTCTTTGCTCTATCCGCTTCAATGAGGAAGCAAATACGGCTTGACACATCAGCTGATTAGATGCCCGGGGCGGAATAGTACTGGCATTCTGCCAGATGAAACTGATAGATCTACGTACACACGTGACTTGAGGGGCAAAGAACTAACAGTATTACTTATGCGTCACGTAGTGTGGCCCAACCTCATAACGCTTTGATTTATATCGTTGAAATCCGCCTACTTGTGATGAAATTCTGCGCTCACTCACCTCTGTCTTTTCGGAATTTTCCTTCGTAGGGCTGGCCTTGGCGATAAATTTGTTTTTTTTACTTCAAACCTTAGATTGCATACAAAATTTTTTGGTATCATCTTGGACATCCTACCATTAAATTCTATGTTTTCAGCACCTGTAATAGGCAGCAGTATTAGTTTTCATTGTATGTGTAGCGTTTCTGCTAAAACTTAATGTTTTTCAAAATGTATGGATTTGAAATGGGTTGAGCAGCTAAGCATTATTTAGATTTGAATGCTTAAAAGGCAATGTAGATAAATATATTATGTCCCATTATGTGCTATTGAAAGAGCTGAAAGAAGTATTACTGCTTTTGAAAAAGGACACAAATGCAACTTTTGAGCAATCATCTTCAGTAATTCAACAAATGGATTTTTACCTTCTCAATTTTAGCAAACTTATAACAATGCGTGCAGAAAAAGCCCTGAATTGTCTTTAACAAAATTCCCAAGACTGTTTTAAAGATCGATTTTCGACAAAGGTTTCTTCCAAGATCACCATTGAGGAATGGTGGAATTGGGCGTTACATAAAGAAATCTGTTCTTTTTATGTTGTGACATTGCTGTTTAAGATTACATGAGGACCAAAAACTTCGAGAATGATCTTGGCAAACTGCTGTACCATCTTATGAAAAAGACACTACTAAACATTTTCCCACAGACGAAATTTTCTAACAAAAGAGGATCCTTGCTCGAAGTGGAATTTCCATAGGAAATATATTATAGAGCAGGAACGCTGATTCCAAATCTACTTTCAATATCTGCAAAGCGCTTTTGGGAAGAAAGTTTACGAATTTTTTGGAACAAAGAATTCAAGGGTTTGACTAAGGTAAAAGCGGGTGTTAAGGTCTTTGGAAGGGGTAATGGCTAGCACAAGTTTATTATACTGAAGGTAGTAAACGCTTGAAACGCCATCGCCATAATCGTGGCTCCATTTGAGCTTACAGACTACAGTTTTGAATGGTTCTACTATAGCGCTCATCAAACTTTCGCTTAAAAAAATTCATTAACTTTTTAACTTCTTGCAGATACCAACAGCAGGTTAGAAACAGCGTTCTATGCTTTTTAAGATAGTATACATTTCATATAGAAACGCCACTTCGACCAAGTATCTTTTTCTTGTAAGGCAACAAATTCTTGGAAGCAATTTCACTTCGAAAATATTAGTGACAGGATAAAGCACGTCATACTCAATTCATTTTCTAAATATTGAACTTGATTTTGCTATCGATGAAACTCTTTCTCTACTAGTCTAATGGAAGCTTTTGCTTGTAGCTCGCTTCAATGCACCTCATTTAAGCTTTAACAAATTTACTCATCCACGTTAGGTATATGTATGTGAAGACATAAAAGTCCAGATTTTGTGCTACTTTGTGCTCATTTTTTTGTTTAGTTCATTTAAACTTTGCAACGATCACAGAATACAAAATGGACTTGCAAAGCTAGAAGCCTCCGCGTAAGCAAGTATCGAAAATCTGCAAAATATGTATGTGAATACAAAGTATTGCGTTGCTCTTCATTTAGAGTCATTTTCCTTCTGTTCCGGCAAGAAAAGAAGCTGTTGTGGATAGAAAAAGTTCCTGAATTAGGCGAAAGGGATGACAAAAAAGTCTTTTTACTCCACTTTATCACAAAACTGAGCTATTATCATGCAATTATGATTTGTATATGAGTGAAAGAATCAAACAACAGAGGGCGAGGTTCTAAGTCTTAGAGAAAAAGTTCGCGGAATTTTGTTCCACTTCGGTTCTCAGCTATAAAAACCGCAAAAACAACATAGAGATCCAACGTTCCAGAAACCTCTCAACCAGTATATCTAACCGTAAGAGGATAGGCATACATACGGGCAGTTGCTTTTGGTACTAAACTCTAGACATTCTTTCAAGCGATTCAAGCCGAACTGGGCCGCGCAGTGAGTAACGTGTATGCAACTCCGGAATCCTCTCCTTTCTTTCTGCTCAAAATGTAGACAGAATGCAAAGATTTTCTGCAAATAGTACAATGTTGATTTCGCCATCATTCTATGAGGTAGAAAGTTTGCTTTTGTTCTTTCAACGTGGTACTTTGCGCTCTTTGCACTTCTCCCTTAGTAGTGCCACTTGATAGAATACACTGGAGATGAACGAATTTGCAACACTCGAGAATAACTGTAATGTATGTGTATTATTTTATATCAAGATACAATGCAAAAATTGTGGTTATTTTTGAAGGCAGCGTCCAGGCAAAACCTAACTGCTCTGATTAGTTCCTATCCTGTACATAGTCTCCAAAAGAGGGTCTTCTGCGTTTGTCCGCTTCTTCAATGTTTTCTCTAGATAGACTGTCAAGCCACGCCGATTTCCTTTCAAGCTTCGCCCATCTAGGTAGTGAAAGCTATCTGGATCTCAGGATTTCACATAACTTCACATAAGACATAACATTACTGTAATCGGTCCATAGAAAGACGCTGCAATCGCGAAAGCATGGAAGGCGAAATTTTGGGTGTACGTTGCCTATAAGGATTTGTTAGTTTTGGATTTATACGTAGTTTGAGGTATCGCTCTATGACGAAGATCCATGACTTCCCAGCTACAAGCTCCAGTCTGCGAGTTTAACCTGGCTTCGCTGGACCCGTTTTTGGCGAAGCAGCCATGGTTCTTCCATCTGATGCTCCTTTTCTTCTATCCCTAATCCTTGGATTACGTCAAAGCTAAAAGTTAGCAGATCGAGTGCTGAAAATCATCAAAAAGGTGAACGCAATAGTAACATTCGGAAACGATTGGGTAGGATAAAGCGGATCACTGATACTATATAAAAGCTTCGATTTAAAGGTTTTTTGCAAGTATGCCCGTATCTACATTACACTTTATCCAAAATTATTCATCATTTGCTAGTCATAAAAACCAGCCACCATCCTTTAAATTTGGAATAAATGTATCCATAGAAGCTTGAGAGAACCTTACTCGTTAGTTATAGGCGCTTTTTTCAACACTATTTCACTCTATTACGCCCATAAAATTCTATTAATGTGCAAAACTTCCTTGAATATCGCCATTTAGAAAATCCAGGGAACCGTATAAATCGTGAGTTCGTTGTACTGTTGGTCTACAATTTTCAAAAATTAACATTCTTTAATCAGATTCCTCTCTCCCCCCGCCCCATTCCGTGAGCATTTACTACGTCATTTCTGTTGCGGCCAGTATCTGCTTTCAGTGATTTCACCCGCTCGACCAAAAACCTCATTCTAAATCCGGCACACACCTCTGACGTAAGCGATGCTGTAACAATGGCCGAATGGCTGATCTGCTCCATGCAAGCAGCAACGGACATTAATTCAATCTCTCATCTCCGAACGTGTGATCGCTATGTTATTTGCCGCGCGTCATCACACACGAAGCATCACTCCCTTCCCCCCCCCCCCCCTCCCACCCCGGCTCGGGGCTGTAATGGGAATTCTGCGCTCGGAGCAAAAATTGAAGCACCCGGCGGATTTGTTTGGTCAAGGAATTTCAACCTAATTCGCAGTGATATCCGACCCGCGTGAGCGCGGGTAACCGGGAGGTCCGGCGCCCGACGTCGAACCCTGCTGTCTATCGTTTGGGATCGAAAACTCAAAAGAGATAAATAGCTGTTGGGAATGTTGTCTGGTTAGTCGGGTAGATCAAAAATTGCTGGGAGTCTGTTTGTGCAGAATTTATGAATCGGAGATAAGAATGTTTGCTAGTGCTAGAAATAGGGCATTCTTTGCGCTAACCCCCTCCCCCGCCTTGCCTGCCATTCAGGGCCCGGCACAGATCGTCTAGAAGTAGGCTGGACTTCGTTTTTGGAGCAAAAAGCAAAGGGGATATCGTTTTTGCGGGGTATATAGTGATATTGACATTGACACACAAGGAAAACTCGATGAAAAACGTGAACGAACGACAAACGAACGAAAACGAAAACAAACGTGAACGATAAACGACCACCCAGACGAACAAAAGCTTTTCGGACAGATTGACACGATTATCACACGATTGACATGCTCTATCGTGTATGGCGAAAAGTGCGCGCGATTTGAAAGCAGGGCTAAAATCAACAAATTGCTTGTTTACAGCGCACACAGAAGCTTATGACACCAAAATTGAACTGTGTGTATAGAAAATTATTTCCGGAAGAATTATGTAAAAAGATTCGAAAACTTATGTGAAGAAATACGTTTTCCAAAATTAGATCGTCTCCAGACGGCCACCAGACGATCTGAGATCGTCTGAAGCATATATTTTCTTCACTTCACATAAGTTTCGGATCTTTTCAGCATGGACGGATTCCCCAGTCAAAAATCTATCCCTGAGCATAGAAACATTTTCATATTACCCCCTGTCCGTCGTTTTTATCATCTTTTTTTTCCAAAAATCGCCATGTTAGATATAGCGCTCCACCGCCAATCCCGCGTTGCTCCGAGCGAAATTTCGATCGCGTGGTCGCTTTGCTGCAAGCATTGAGTGTTTCATTCTTCTGTTGTTGTATTCGACATTTGTCCGAGAATTATATAGTCATGTGTATACTACGTGTCCGTATAATCATTCCGTCTTCTAATATGCGTGTCAGAAGGATGCCAAAAAGAGGATTCTTCAATGATGTGCTGGAAAGCGGTGCAGCTCGTCTGATCTTTCAGAAGGACGAAGGGATTCTGATGGTGGGTTTGTTTCAAGTTTTTTCTTTTTCTTATTTATGTTTTGCAGGTATTGATTAAAGCGCAACTGGAACTTGACGCCCTACTTGAAGCAAACAAGGACGATGATCTTGCTAGGATGCACCTATACGGTTTGTTTTTGTGTTGTCGAAGTACCCCTTCAAGTTTTCGAGTTATTTGACTGACCGTTGACTTTTGGGCGGATCATCCTTAGAACAGTGGAATAACATCGTTGGGCTTGACAGCTGCTCATCATTACATTGATTTGAATCTTGATTTTGTGGTAGCTGGTTCAAAAAAAAAGTTGATTGTGTGGATAGATTGGTTTGTGCCAGTGCAATCAATTGAAAACTACGTCTAATGCCATACAGATGTCTTATGCTCCACGTGTAGTAATGGCATTAGTGTGTAATGGGAAGATTACGCATCACATGCAAATTAGCACATTTTTACTGAGGGTTTGCGACTGTAGTTAGTTTCGTTGGGAAGAGCTCATTGATGAGCAAGCGATGTTAAAAAACACTTTTCCATTGAGTGTCATTTTATCAATATTTACAACCAAAGCTGATGTTCCCATGCTTATTTCAAATATCTATTTTTGAAGTACGAGATACGGGCAAAGGACGAGAGACGTGTTTTCATGGTGTGTTCTTTGATGGCCGTTATAATGCAGCACCATAGATTATAGTCTGTCTGCTTTATAGGCTAGCGATCACGTAGCCTTCTCTGGTTTTTATTGAAGTCGAAGTCAGGCTCCGAGATTTGGGAATTTTGCCTTTATTTTGTCATTGAAAGTGCTTGTAACCGAAGTCTCAGCTTATTTATTCGTAAATCACCAGTTGACCAGATTAGTTCTAAGGAAAATTTCCAATCTATTTAGGCGGAGCTGGCTCGTAGTCGAAAATGCATTGAGGAGCTCCGCACTGAAAATGCATCATTAAAACGAAAACTGTACGATGTTGAGCGTTTGGAAGGAAATGAAAGGATTAAAATGCTTGTGGAGCAGCGGATCAAGGTACTTGGACTATTTTCACATTTTCCTACCACATTTCATCTTCGCCTTCTTTCATTTCCTCATCAAACAAAAAAAGACCTCTTCCACCCTCTTTCAACCCCTCCATGCTTTCAAATGTTTGTCAGACTATCGATGTTATTTGATGACTAATGACGTTGGTTGGTTTTGCACCACTTCAGATTGAGGCCGCGCTCATATTGTAGAGAGGAAGATTCTTCGATCGATGCTTTGTTCTTTGAAAATGCGACTAGGCTGAGAATCTCAACTAAGGGACCTTAGTGGTCAAAATCTCATTTTTTTATTCGAAAGCGTTTATTATTTTCTACACACAACTACTGCTTGGTCACCAAACCTCTATGACAACAGTCTGATTTGCAGAGCAAAATGCATCATCTCAATCATATTGGCTCAAGAACTATATCACGTCTAGAAAGTGCTGCTTTGAACCTGCGGAAGTCATTTGAAAAGTTTGGGTCTGCTTGTTTTTCAATTAAACTAGTATGACTATCGACATTGCTCAGCATTCCAGGGTGCATATAAATGGTACTTCCAACCAGGCAAAAGAAAATGTTGCCCGCACCAAACGCAGCTCTTTATTTACCGACGGCCAGCCACGTCTAAATGGTGGTTCGTGTTTTTTTTTCTCTAAAAAAGGTTACGCTTTCTTACATAGACAGTCCTCAATTCAGTAGTTGAGTCTCCACCCCTGGTCAAAGAACCTTCTGTACAGAAAGACGAAAATTCTTTACCGCAAGAGAGCGAAACTCCAGTAAGTATCAATTGCATCGTGACTGAATGTTCCAATTTTTTTGGGGGTATTCAGAACTTCACTGATCTAGACTTTTCAGCGTGCAAAGTCTGCTCGGAGAAAGCCTCGCCGAAGTGAATTGTTTCAAACATGCCGTCCAGAAGGTGCGCTTTCCAATGTTCTTTTCAACTTTTCGGCATTGATCGCTGATTTTTTAATTGCAGAGATCACTGAAACGCCCAGAATTTCTATTGATTCAACTGAGGCGCTCTTTTGAAGATACACTTGAAGCTACTCCCAAACCAAGTGCAACTCCCCGGGAGCGGCCTCATTTCGAGACTCCTGCAGTACCGTTTAGTGAATGCGATACGGTATGTCATTTTTGGCATGTTCAGTAGTGTTATGTGTGCCATCAAATTGGGCCTGTGAAACCATTGCCATGATCTTCTTTTGTGTCGCTCCACTACCGTAAAAAGTAATGTCGTTTTGCCGATCATCAAATATTTTCATGTTTCTTCCAAAATCATTACATGCCTAGCCAATTCTGCAGTCTCCTGGATCATTTCCCCGTCAGTGAAATCCTTGTATTTACTCTTACATTGCTTTCACAATTGGATTGATCATTGACACTTTCGTATATTGATACAGCTGCAACGAACAATCGCCGACACTGTTTGAACGCTAGTCAGCACAGTTATCGCCATTAATTGTATGGAATTATATTCTAACTTCCCATTTGTTTTATTATGAACACTTATTTTTTATGGCTTTCATAAGACATTGAGAGTTGTTTTTTGGAAAAATTGGTGCCCTGAATAAAGTTTTTTTGTGTATACTTTTCTTTAATTTTCACCACACAGTCGAAGGGTGGGGGGGGGGGATAGGGCAAGGGTCAAAGGGGACTTCGTAAAATTCTCGAAAGTCAGGGGGGGACTTCGTTTTTCAAAAGGCTAGAAACGGACTCGTGCCGGGCCCTGCTGCCATTGCACAACTGCTATGATAGATCATTGTTGCAAAGCTTTGGTGACCCATCAGCTAATTTCGCCCCGCCTGCTTCTTACGGGAGAAGAATACTAAATTAGATTCGCCTTTTGAGATGGGACACATATATTTGAAATCAACTTTAAACGCTGATTGTAAATATGCTGTTCCTAGCTGCTCAGCCTTATTCCGAAGCAGTTATGGGTTTGCTGCTGTGAGTAACCAACAAACTTCTGAATGTCGTAAAACGGCGTGTAGATAAGAATGTGCTCGAAAAAAGTGCTGATGTTGAACTAGAATTAGATTAATTCTTTCAATCTTGAAAGGGAGCATTATAGAATTTTCCGTTACTTTTATCGATTTTATCGATTTTTTGCAAAGTTTGAGCTACGGGGCTGGGATTGGCAGAGGGGGGTAATCGAGCATGCTGATTACGAGTGCAATATTAGTTTGGCGGTATTCGGCTATTCGGGCCCCAAAATTTTTTTGTCGTAGAGCTTGCTCAAACTTCGTCTATAAGGGTCTTACATACTGATTACAGATCTCATACTCTCTCTGCATATTAGGCCTTTTCATAGAGTTATGGTGGTCTAAACTTCGTCTAGTTTCGCCATTTGGCGCGCTGAACATGAATAACATGCTGATTTCGCAGAATAGCGCCATTTTCTTGGGTTACGGTGTGTACAGTAGATGGGTCGAAGTTCCAAATTTGCTCAAAACCTTACCTGGAACGGCTTACAAGCATGCTGCTTATGAATATGATGCTTGCTCGCTGTCATAACGCATTATTGTGAAGTTACGGTGAGTAGCAGGGTGAATGGACATTTTTCGCTTTCGCCACATATTCACGAAATGTGGAAACGGTCTTTGGCAGGGCGGTCTCCAGCGCCATCCTGATAATTTGTGCCAACGCGTAACGCACGCGGCAAATCTCCCCCATGTTCTTTGCTTAGACGAAAGCCGCCGAAGGGTGTATCGCACGCGGCAGTGGTCCTATAAGGAAAGCGTTAAGGTCGTGGGAAACCTTCTATACCACACGAATTTCTTTTATCGTGTAGATTGAGCACGATATTCTTAAAACAGCACTTTAGGTAACCTCTGCCAAGGTTTGCAGGGATTTTTACCCGCTGCCATGTACCTACCGTAGCGAAGAGGTTTGAAAACGCAAGGAGAGTGTTTTAACGTGGTCAGAAGGTCGAATCTCTCTAAACCGAGTTTCAGCCAAAACTGAGATTTTGCACCCCTGCACCAGTATACCTACCATAACTGTGAAAACACCCCAAAATGCCGAAAGAATATAATATTCGTAATCAGCATGTCAATTAGCCCCCTAAGCATATTTTCGAAATCATAATTTAGCTTCTTACGTGTACCCACCGTAAACCAGAAAATGACGCTATCGCGAGAAATGACTACGATATTCATCATCAGCGGCTCGAATAACCTTCATATAAAGAGTTAAAGAGCAAAATCCACTGTAGAAGGGGCACAGGGAAAGGTTGTACAGGGATAGGAATAGAACCTTTATCGTTTCTCACAGAGCCGGGCAGAGCCGGGTAAGCCAGCTAGTATGTCATAAAGCACATTTACGCCAACGTAGTGGCAGGTTGAAGCTAAGGGGGCTTATGTAGTCGGCCACAGTCATTTACGAAAACAGTTGCGTTACAATACAAGGCTGGTTTTTTGAAAGAATTCGATTCTTTTTTTCGAATGAGGTTGAAAAGAGATCAAGGATGATGGTTAGCAGCAGCTATAGCAGTCAATAACGAAACTCTAATTCCCTAAGATAGTAGGTTGTCTTAAAAGGTTATCAAATCTGATTTCTATTTTCACTTTCCCAAGCAGTAGGCCATCTATTTCTTAATTCCAATCAAAATGCAGGGTACTGATCGATAAATCACAGCACGCTCTCTAAACAGGGAAGGGTACTTGGTGACTCCGGCCATTCATAATTTTTGTATATCAAATGCGCCTTTTGATGCTGGTTCGAATACTGTTTTCCATATCTGCGAAAGAGAACCTGGATGGAGTTATAATTATTTTATCAAGAATAAATTGCGCTACTGCGGAGGGTAATCATTGATAAAAAATTTTCTTTCCTCTTTAGATGCCGAATATGATTTAAATACGTATAAATACAACGTTACACCTTCCAAGATCCTGCTCAATAGCTTCAATAGCTTCAAACGGTAAAATAGATCAAATTGGATGATTTTAACTACCTAAAATTATGCAGATTTTCTACGAAAAAAGTTCGTAACTGTCTTCATATGATCGTTTTGCAGATTTCGAGCACAGATTTAGAAACAGCGTTTCGAGTGCACCTCATGGTATACATCGCATTCAAAATGTCCGTAGTCACCAAGTATCCTTTCCCTGTAAGGTGGCCTTTAACTGCAAAAATTTAATGGAGATCTCACTTGTAATTTGACTGTAATTTGAAAGCTTTGATTGTTTTATTTATGATAAGATAAGCGTATCGAAAAAAATCAACCATGCGGGCAAAAAATTAGAGTCAGCGTTGAAATTATTTTCCATGCTGCCGCGTGAGCGAACAGAAAATATATTGGCTATGATACTTTTCTGCAATCAACTGCAAATCAATTTGATCATTCCAATTATGATACATATTGCCTCTGACAACGGAAGCTACCTAACTTAGCTCGTCTTTTAGAAAGGAACATGTATAGTCTTAATCAGCTTCAACTGACTCCAAATATTCTATTCCTAGCTGCAACGTGCCGTTCGGAAGCGAGTTATGGGCTTTTTTTTCTGCGCAAAATTGGCATGCTCATCGACACACGTGCATCACGTCATCATCATTTGAGTGCTGACACTTGCGTTGAGCTTTTTTAGTGAAAAAAGATTGAATTTGTACTATTTCGATACCTCGGCACCCTTTTCTTGCAGATTTTTATCTACAGGCAGTCTTCTCATGTTCAGTAGTAAGCCAATATTGCATAGGGAAACGTCCATAACTTGCTTCGGAATGGTGCTCGACAGCTAGAAATAGTATGTTTGGAATCAGCGTTTGAAGCTGATTCAGAATATATATATACCTTTTATCAAAAGGTCGAGCTAAGTTAAGTAGCTTTCCTTATGAGATAAGAGCGTAGCGAACTTGATAAATATGTGGATAAAGAGGAAAGTAATTCAGACTATTTTTCTGTTGTTGCATGAGAGATAAGGGAATGTGGTGGCTACGATCTACCTCTGCAAAAAAGTTGAGTGGAAGACATCGAATGCAGGTAAAACGCCTTGATCAGTTATGATATGCATTGCATGTATTATAAGATAAACGAGCATAGTTTGCAGTCAGTTGTGCAGGTTAAGAAGGGAACTGGCTTGTTGGATTTGATTAATCTCTGTGAAAGAAATTTAAGAGATCAGCTGTAAAAATTTAGAAGCTTTGGTCATCTTGATTATGAGCAGTCAAAACACCCATATAAACAGGCATCAACTTAACGTTCAGTGACTTCCAGTCTCTAAGTAATAAAACATGTAAGCAGAAAAACACCTTAGAAGAGATAGAAACCAAGAAATGGAAGCGCTTTCGTGCTGCGCGCGGTCGCGCCATCGTCACGATTTTTCGAATGCCCTATACAATCTATGGAGTGTTTAAAAATGCACTAAATCAAAACCTCTAAACTCTATAATTGAGATCGATATCAAAATATAGGGCATAACGGCTCCAAAGTATAAAGTTTTGGGATCTCCTACCACAGCTTATGCCTTTATCGAATTGGGAAACGCGGCTTTTGTTTGCAGCTTCTGTATATTACGGATCCGTCAGAGTTTACCGATGTTGCTAATATTACCCGTGTTACTAGTGTTACTCGTGTTACTCGTGTTACTAGCGTTACTCGTGTTACCGGTGTTACCAATATTACTGGTGTTACCAGTATTACTGATGTTACCGTTACCAATGTTACTGGTGTTACTCGTGTTACTAATGTTACTCACCAATCAATGAGATTGCGATATAGAATGAGACTGTATTTGTGATCATTTCACTATCAACAGGAATAAAAGCGGTAAAACCAGTAACGCTAGCAAAAGTAGTAACCAGGGTCAAGCAAGGGGTGTGGCACACGATCGCTGGTTACGACCCCCTCCCCCCCTGATTGCTGTCTTAATAAGACCCCCCCTCTGGACTA